CGCGCTGACCTCAGCGCGACGCCCCGCCCTCGGCCCGCGGCTCTTTGGGCCTTGCGGTTCGCCGTAGGAACGGTGTGGGGCGGGGTGCCGAGTGCGAAACCGAGATTGCGGGTGGCGCACGCGCAGAGGAGCCCGGGCGGGGCGCCGAGCCGCGCCGTGTGTGCCCGGGATCCCGGGGTTCGGCTCTATTCCCGGGCCTCCGGACCGACCCTCGTGGTCTAGCCAGGCAGCTGCCTAGCGCGGCCCCAGGAGCCGCTCTGCTGGGTCTCGGTTGTCGCGTCCGAGCTGTGGGGCCACCGAGCCCTGTGCCCGAGTGCGCACGCGAGACGCGGGCGGGGCACCTGCCGGAAGGCTCCGGGAGCCGCTGGACGCGCGCTCCCCCGCGGGCACGCGCCCCTGGGGATGCGCAGTCCCCTGCCTCGACTGTTGAGAGATTCTGCTCCCTGACTGATCGTTAGGGTGTCGGCCTGGTGCGGAGTAGACGGTTGTTTCCAGGCGGGGCGCCGCTTTTAGTGGATTCCGCGCCTGCAAAGGTTGATGTAGAATATCCCTTAGGACAAACCCCAGGCCTCCGCAGAGGAGGAGCCCTTTGTGAATCCCAGGGTTGCTTCCACAGAGTGAGGGCTTGTAGTTCAACGGGGGGGCAGGTGGGGTTAGGAAGCCGGAAGCTGAGTGGAGCCTGAGGCAAAACGCTGGGTGGAAAGACAGCAGCCGAATGGCGACTCCTGCGCAGGAAGCGACGGAAGGGTCCCTGGAGACTTCTGGGCTGCTGGGAATGGGGTATGACTTGGTTGGGGTTACACAGGCACACATACCTATGTGTATCTAGCCTTGGTTTTTCAAACGCAGGCAAAATGGCCCAGTATTGTAGGTTGGGTAGAGCGGACCCTCATCAGAGCAGTATCATCGCGAGGGAATCTATACACATATATAATGTATTCACTAGTTACTGCATGTGTATGATGCCCAGCTTTTAAATTTTTAAAAGAAAGGCCAAGAGTATCTCCCTACCCAAAACTAAAATCTGAGCCCTGTTTGTAGGACAAAGACCCAAAATAGTGTGACCAGACAACTGAATTCCTTTCCTGACATCACCCATGTTTCCTTTGTCCCATAAATGTCCCCCGTGAGAGAGTGTCTTCTCTGGCTGGCCCTGTCAGCCCAGACCCTCCCACTGGTGTCCCTGAGTCAGTCTCTGGTTGCTTGCCTCTGAAGTATTTAATCTCTCCAAATTAGAACTTTGTACCTGCCCTCCTGTGCCAGTCTGTAGTGCCTCCCCCAGCTACCTTTAGTGTGTCTGTTTATCCCAGATCTGTTTCCACACTGCCTGTTAGGACGCCTTTGGCCCCCGAGACAGAGTGGACCCAGGTGTCCTCTGTAGGCTTCCTCTGAACTTGAAACAGTGGTTCCATATGGGGCTTGGTCACTAGTCTGGGACCCAAAGTAAATTAATAAAGTTGTTTCTGTTCCTCCGTTTCCTTGGATGTAAAAAGAATAAGAGAATCTCCTGTGCATTTCAGACAGCGTGGGAAGGGACTCTGAGTGATCACCAGGGAGCACTTTGCCCACTGCCCTGTTCATTGCCACTCTTACTTTGGTGGCTGCTGTTGGGACATTAGGGTTAATATTTTAGGAAACAGAAGGTTTGTGACCAGCTGATGGGTGAAACAGCCTTGGGTACTGGCTCTTGGCCCCTAGACAGAGGCAGCCGGGCTCTATCTTCTCTGGCATCCATGAGAACACACAGTCAACTCTGTGGACTTGCCAGTGTCTTTCTGAGCTTTTAGATCAACACACCACCCCTACTCCAAGCTAACCCATCCCAGCACCTCAAAATGTACACGAAGTAGTAACTTCAAGCCACAAGCATAGACTTGGTCCAGAGTGAGGGAAAGGTTCCCAAGCGTTTCCCTGGGTAATCTCCATAGGCAATCTGGAGGATTAACTCTCAGATCTTGAGAATTCCGCATCCGCATGGATGATGTCTAAACAAATGGTGGCTCCGGGCCAGTAAAACTTTATTTACAGAAGCCAGTGGTTTGTGGGGCGCAGTTTGCTGACGCCTGCTTCCTAACACCAGCTTTGACAGTGGGGTTTCAGGTCTAGAGACACAAGCCTTGTTTGAGAAAGGGGAGCTGACGACAAGCAACAAAGTTTCCTTTTCTCTCGAAATCAACGTGAGAAAGGGACTTGTAGTATCCTTTCAAATCACAAGAACAACAGGAGAGACTCCTAAAGAGATGGGAACAACCACCTACGCAGGAGTGTTTGCTGAGCATGCGCCAAGTCGAGGTTCCTCCATGGCACTGTGTGACCAGACCTGGAGGCACAGGCCTGCAGTCCCATAATCCCAACCTTCTGAAGGTAGAGGCAGTAGAATCAGAAAAGTTCAAGGTCCTCCCTGGCTGCTTCAAGTTCAAAGACAGAATAGGTGACACCTTGTCTGAAAAAAAAAGGGGGGGGAGGGGACAGAGATCAGAATTATTATTCTACATAAGAAAAATATAGACAAGGGGCTGGAGAGATGGCTCAGTGGTTAAGAGCATTGACTGCTCTTCCAAAGGACCCAGCTTCAATTCCCACCACCCACATGGCAGCTCACACCTGTCTGTAACTCCAAAATCTGACACCCGCGCACAGACATACATGTAGGCAAAATACCAATGCATATAAAATAAAATTTTTTAGAAAAGAAAAAAATATACAGACGAGATATATGAAACAGGGAATTCTGTGACAGAGAAAGACGGGATCCTAGCAGTGACCCCTCTCCCAGAGATCTTGTGTGCCAGAGATGAATGTTCTGACCCAGGCAGCCAGAGAACTGGGGAGGAGCCCGGTGAGCTCCCTTAGGCTTGAAGATGGTTAGGGCCAAGGAGACAGCCACTGCTCTAAGGAATCCCGTGGCCTACTTACCAGTGCTCACAGGGGAAGAAAACATCCAGGGCCAGGAAAGAGGCTTCCAAAAGATTAGAGGAATAGTACCTGGTGCACAAACAGACAAAGAGATAATGTTTCTCACGAGCCAGACTGGAAAACCTCGGCGTTCTCAGACATTGGATAGAATTATCAGGAAGGTTACTGTGTTCGGCAACTTTCTGTCATTGTGAAAAAATGGCTGAGGGGAAAAAAAAAATAGCTTAAGGGGAGAAGCATTTAAAACTGTGGCTCATGCTTTCAGAAACTTCATTCTATGACCACTGGGCTATTATATCTAGGCCCACGGTGAAGCAGGACATCATGGCAAAGGAGCATGTAGCAAAGAAAAGATCTTTACATCATGGCCACCAGGAAGCAGAGAAAAGGAGAGGGAGAGCAGGTTCCCAGGGTGCCCTCCCTGAGCATGCCCACGACGACGACTTCCATCAACCGGGCCCCATTTGCTAAGGCTTCCATCACCTTCCCCCAGACTGGTGCCACCAGCCAGGGAGAGGACATTGAACATGTGGGCCTTGGGGGAAATCCTCAGATCCAAATGACACAGTTGTGCCTCGGAGGTGGGGTCACCACTACTAGACCTAGATAAAGCCCTCGACTGAATGTTTGGGATTTGGCTTCATGCAGAGCTCTGGTCCAGCAAGTGAGAGGCCCTGAATTCAGTCCAAAAGAAGAAGGAAGGGGGAAGAGAAAGAGGGCAGTAGACAGAGCACACGTCCATGTCTGCCGAATAAATCATCTAAACAAGACAAACACCAAACTCTTCACAAATAATTTAACTTCATCCCAGAACAAAGCTACAAAACATTTACTGGAGGCCAAAATACCCAACATCTCAAATGGCAACATCACAATGCCTGGCATCCGGTCAAGGGTAACCAAGCTTTCAAACAAGCGGGTAGGAAAGCACAGCCCACGGTGAGGAGACCAGGCGTCAAAGCCAGCCTCCAGTTTACACCGCAAGAGAATCGGCAGAAGACGTTAAAACAGTTACTGGGACTATATTCCCTATGTTCAAAAAGTTAACAAGATCCTTTTAATTTTTAATTTAACATTGAATGATGAAAACTACAGCCCCTCAAGTGAAAAATGTACTGTATGTAACTAATGACAAATTAAATACTACTTAAGATTCATGAAATTAAAGGTTTAAAAATAGAATTCTTCAGAGGGCCAGTGAGGTGGGTCAGCTGGTGAGGGGCTTGCCACCCAGCCTGATGGCCTGATAACCTTGATTCCTGGGACCCACAGGGTGGAAGGAGGGCAGTGACCCCCCAAAGTCGGTCCTCTGACCCCTACCCACAGACATGTGCATGTGCAGGCACACACACACACACACACACACACACACACACACACACACACACACGGACTGAGCCCCTGTGAAATCTGCGACAACAGCAGGTCATGAGCCCAATCTCTGGGAAATGGGACAACCTCGGTGTCCTTTACCCAGTGAATGGGTAATGAAAACATGGTCACACACACTATGGAACACTATCTAGCTGTAAAGAAAAATGAAATCATGAACACTGCAGACAAACGGAACTAGGAAAGATCATATTGAGTGAGGCAATCGAGACCCAGGAAGACAAATGTCCCATGTTCTCTCGAATCCCAGGCTTCTAGCTTCAAATCTTCAGCTATAATAAGCGTAGTTCTCACTTCTCATCAAGGAAACTTCTCTTTGCAATAGACAGAAGCCAATACAGAAAACCACAACCAGTCACAATGGAGAACTGGGGAGCCCAGTCCCAGTGGATACATTTACAAAGCAACTCCTAAACCCAGGGATCATTGCAGAAGAGGGCAGAAAGGTTGTTAGAGCCAGAAGAGCAGAGAGTCTCTGTGAGACTGTCTCCTAGGGATGTCAGAAGCTACACCCATCAAGTCTCGCCAACATGGCTTTCCAAATGTGACCTGAACAAGGACAGCAACAATGGACATGCTGAAGTAGATGGGGCAGGGGTGGGGTGCAGAGTCCACCAGGCTCAACCCTACACGAGAACTACAGACAACTAAGGACGCTGAGAGCAGAAGGCAGTCTTCGCCAGGAAAGAGCACATCAATTGAGCATTCAATGACAAATGGTCAGCCTTGCAAATACACACATAAATAACATTTTATACAGACAAAGTAGGTTGTATTTATGTATTTGGGAATATATATGTGTATAGATATTCATGTATGTAACAACAATTAATGAAAAAAAAAAGAGGCCTTGAATTTGAAAGAGAGCAAGGAGGGGTATCTGGAAGGGTCTTAGAGGGAGAAAGGAAAGGGGAAATGGTGCAATTATACTATAACCTCATAAATAAAAGGAACAATTTGTTGCTGTTTTTAATGCAATGTGCCTGGGCATGGTGGCCCTTGCCCTTTCTTTTCTTTTTTTACGATTTATTTATTTATTATGTATACAGTGTTCTGCCTGCATGTATCCCTGAAGACTGGAAGAGGGCACCAGAGCTCATTACAGATGATTGTGAGCCAAGATGTGGTTGCTGGGAATTGAACTCAGGACCTCTGGAAGAGCAGCCAGTGCTCTTAACCTCTGAGCCACCTCTCCAGTCTTGTTGTTTTTTTAAGACAAGATTTCTCTGTGTAGCCTCGGCTGTCATGGAACTTACTCTGTAGACCAGGCTGGCCTCAAACTCACAGAGATCCACCTGCCTCTGCCTCCCGAGTGCTGGGATTAAAGGCATGAGCCACCACGCCTGACAAAAGGGATAATTTTTAGGAAAGAAATGACAGTAATTTCCAAACTTGTCAAAACTATAAACCCACACATTGAAGACATATAGTGATATACAAGCACAGGACACAGAACCAGGTGCTGTGACTGCTACACCGAGACAGATCACGAAATTCTCCAAACCAGTGATGAAGGTAAAAGAAAAGAAGAACAGCGAGAGAAAAAGGCGCCAGCCAGGGCTGGAGAGCGGCTCAGAAGCGGAGAGTGTGCTCTGCTCTTGCAGAGGACCAGGGTTTGGTTCCTCGCACCCATGTGGCAGCTCACAACCATCTGCCACTCCAGTTCCAGGAGATCTGACACCCTCTTCTGCTCTCCTCAGGCACCCCTTACACACACACACACACACACACACACACACACACACACACACACACACGGGAAATATAAAGAAAAAAAGATGGCAGCCAATATCTCATTTGAAGCAACACTTTAAAGCACCAAAGTGAAAGAAAATAGTGCCCTAACATTTTATACTCAGCTAAAATATCTCTCAAAATAGAGGGGGAAATAGTTCAGAGACATAAAAACCCACTCTGAAAAAAGAGAGGCAGGATCTTTGGCCTGGGGTTATGCATGTTGGAATTTTCTAGGTGATAGCCACTACCTTGCATGTCTTCTCTGTTCATTTGCTGGGCATTCCTGCAGACTGCCAGTTTGGGGTGGAATCCCGAGCAGCAGCAGGCGGGTGGCCCTCGCAGACTTTGTGAAGGCTGCCTGCCCCTCAGCCTCATGACCCAGCACGTTTTGAAAAGGTGAGATTATGCAGATAGCTCAGCTAGTCAAGCGCAGGACATGTATTTGGTTCCCAGAACTCACATCAGCTAAAGTGGCAGCGTGCTCTTATAACCCCGGCACTGGGGAGGCAGAGGCAGGAGGATCCTCAGACTCGCTAGCCAACCAACCTAGCCTCCTTCTGGGAGTTCCAGGGCAGTGATAGACCATGTCTTTAAAAGAAAAAAGTGGGTAGTTCCTGAGAAATGACACTCAAGGTGTCCTCTGGCCTCCACATGCATGTGTGTGTGTGTGTGTGTGTGGTGTGTGTGCTGTGTGTGCTGTGTGTGTGTATGTGTAGTGTGTGTGTATGTGTGGTGTGTGTGTGGTATGTATATGTGGTGTTTATATGTGTGTGTGGTATGTATATGTGTGTGTGGTGTGTGTACATGTGTCTGTGGTGTGTGTGGTGTGTGTATGTATGGTGTATGTGTGGTATGTGTATGTGGTGTTTATATGTGTGTGTGGTATGTATATGTGTGTGTGGTGTGTGTATGTGTGGTATATGTATGTGTGTGTGTGTGTGTGTGTGTGTGTGTGTAGGGCAGAGGCCCGTAGAGCCAGCCTGGTTGGAGACCCATTACCCTGGACACTCCAGGGCTGTCGAATAAGTATATTTCTTCTACCAATGACTGTTCTCCTTTTCAAAGGCTCCTACTGGCTTGCTACTCAGTTAGCACTGGCTTAGTAAAGGTGACTGCTTGGCCATGGATACCAAGAAACTACTCAACCCAGTTTATCTGCCCATCAAAAAGTCAATGTTATCCACGATACCACAAAACCAGGTATGCATAACAGTGTTCTGCTGTAAAATGACACTGGACCCAGATATATCTGGAAGAAGTGAGTGAACGCCATGAGTAGGTAGCATGACGCCCATGGTATTTGCTCCCACTGTTTTGCAAACTCTTCTTACCCCACAGCTATGACCTCATGGTCAGTCAGTACAGGATGGCGCTGGAGTAAAGCTTCTCTCCAGGGGGTAATGGCCTCAGCCAGTGGTGCTTGGACCCAGTGAGGTAAGTTCCTAAAAGACAATGAAGAGAAAGTCCCCAGAAGGCCAAACTCCATGCCAAGGCATAACTAATGTATTATCTAGCCAATCAGAGGCTTTGAAAGGTGCACCCCAGCGCGGGTGGCAATCTGGCTATAATTCTCAGGGTAGGCACAGCATGCCAGCCTGTGAGAATGAAGATTGATTCCCCAAGCGAGGTGAGTGGGGAGGAGGCTCTCGGGGTTCACATGACCAGGGCAACCCTCCCGAAGACATCGGCTGCCTCTCATCCCCTGCCACAGTGCTTGTCCAAAGGACGCAGGTCCCGCTAACAAAAGGGGAAGGGATGGAGGCCCCGGACTCCCTTCACCCAGACGGACGTGGCTTCCATCATGGCCCCCAGCCCAAACTGCATGCACAGGGCCCCATGCTGTGCCGTTCATCAGATGCCATCTCCCGGTTACTGCTGCTACACCCTTTCCATCACAGTGGACGCATGCTTGCTTTCCCAGTCACACTGCTTCTACCAGCACCACCATTTTTGGGCTTTGAGAATGTTTTATTTATCTATCGCCATAGCAACCCAAACAACATCACTGAGAACTGTAGGATTCATTTTATGGAGAAGGAAGTTTGGTAGCGAGCTCCTGCCTATGAAATCCCCTGACTACCGCATGCCTCACCGTCAGGCCCACCCTGCAGGGTGTGGTATATTCCTTCCCCAGCAGGCTTTGTATAGTGCCATGCCCCAAGAGTCCAGCACATGATGAGTCCAGGAACCAAGCCTCGGAGGTCCTCCCGCCTGACACCAGCTAACACACAGGAATTCTGCTTTCCTTCCTGTGACCTTGGGCTAGTGTCCAAGAAAGGAACGCTTCCTTCAGGAAACACAGTCACATCATGTCACCGCTCAGATGGATTGCAGGATTTCAGCGGAGGCTGCCCCTCCCCCGCCAGCCCTGCCCGCCCCACCCCACCAAACCCACAGTCCTAAGATGCTCAGCCTCAACCACCAGGGGGACTGTGAGCCGGTTCAGCTAGAGAGGCAAGGGGATCTTGTGCAGAACCTAGGCATTTCAGGGAGGTACTCCTAATACTTCCTGTTGATAACTCTTATTGCAGAGAAGGAAGAGAGCTCACTAGAAACGGGTCCTGAGGGGAGTCAGGTCCCGAGTGAACAAAAGTTCCAGTCACCTCTCCAGAGCTAAGGAAAAGAGCTGCTAAGAGCCCCCACAGGGAGCCAGGGCATGGGCAGGGCCCAGAGGCAGGCAGCGTGGCAGCGTGAGTCTGAGGATCGATTGCTTCTGGCGGGGCGTTCCACCCACTCACGCACGCCTTACACAAAGTGACGGTGATGCCACGTCTTAGGCTTCAGGTAGATGCCACCCTGGTTGTCACGGTCACCAGAGACGGACAGTTCTGTGGCCTTTGGGGTTCAGGACACATTTTCCTCCATAGGACAAGCGTGGAAGATGAAAGGCACAGGGGCTAAGAGGTTTGCCTTATCTCTGTGGATCCTAAATTCCATCTTACTCTGTACTCCAAAGCGGGCTAGCCTGGGAGACTCGGGAGGTGGCGGGTGTCTAGCAAGAGCATACGGGATGGTTTTCACCCAGTGGCTGACAGTACAGCTCCCATCTAGGTCCTTCCTTGGGGGCCCCACTCTCAGATTATGATTCTCTTCCTGCCAGCCACCCCATGGGACGTATAATGGGACATGTTGGTCCGTCCCTTCCTTCCTGGTCTGACCCTGCCCACACCCTGGCAAACAGGCCACTTGTATGGCCTCCTCAGTTCTCCTGCTGGGTGTGACCTCTTCGGGGCTGATTCAGCCACTTGTACAGTGATAGTCACAGCATGTTACTGCCTGTGGAAAAATGAAAGCCTAAATATCCATATAGGCAGAAGAATAGGTAAGTCTGGGACACTCCAAAGGTGGAATTCCAGCCAGACCTGGTGGTGCACACTTGTGGTGGTGCACACTTGTGGTGGTGCACACTTGTGGTGGTATGTACTCATGTGGCGGCTTGAATGAGTAATGTCCCCCATAGACTTGGGCATTTGAATGCTTGGTCCCCAGTTGGTGGCACTGCGGGGGGCGGGGGCTTAGGAGGTGTGGCCTTGCAGGAGGAAGTACATCACTTGGGTCCCGCCCAGTCTGCTCCTCTCTGCTTCATGCTTGTGAGCTTTCTGCCCCTGCTGCCTTTCCTTCATGAGTCCCCGGTTGACTTTTAATGTTCTTTCTTTCTTTCTTTTTTTCTTTTTGGTTTTTTGAGACAAGGTTTCTCTGTGTAGTTTTTGTGCCTGTCCTGGATCTTGCTCTGCAGACCAGGCTAGCCTCAAACTCACAGAGATCCACCTGCCTCTGCCTCCCGAGTGCTGGGATTAAAGGTATGGGCCACAGCCACCTGGCCGACTTTCAGCTTTCTTAAGTCCAAACAAACTCTTTCTTCTATAAGTTGATTTGGACATAATGTTTTGTCCCAGCACCAGAAAAGTAACTAATTCAGCCTGGGAGGCAGAAGCAGGAATATCAGAAGTTCATGGTCATTCTTGGCTACATAGCAAGTTCCAGGCCAGCCTGAGTTACAAAAAAGTGCCTCAGAAGCCGGGCAGTGGTGGCTGCACGCCTTTAATCCCAGCACTCAGGAGGCAGAGGCAGGTGGGTCTCTGTGAGTTTGAAGCCAGGCTGGTCTGAGTTCCAGGACAGCCAGGGTTACACAAGAGAAACCCTGGCAAAAAAAAAGAAAACAAAACAAAACCCCTCTGACTCAGAAAATAAAAATAAACAAATAACAAATAACAAAACACATACACACACCAGGCAGTAGAATTTTATATAGCCCCTAAAAACAATGCAGAGTAATTCTCTCAACCAAACCAAGGCTATGGACCATTGGCTCCTGGAAACGCTGTCTGGGTATAAGGTACATTCCAACCAAGGGACCAGACCACAGACCAGGGCAGAAAGAAGTAAAGAAGGCGGAGCCCAGGATGTGCTGATTCCTGAGGAAGTGGACGGTGGACCTGGGGGGCATGGAAAGGGGTGCCTTGCAAACAGGGAGGTCTTTCTCCTATGTGACACTATAAAGGAGATGCCCGGCACAGGGCACGTGCAGAAGTGTGAATGATGGAGTGGGCAAGCCCTCCAAGGCCTGGCAAGCACAGACAGCCATTGCCTACTGAGAAGGGCCTCTTCCCTCCCTCACATACCTGCGGGGTCCCAGAACCCCTGAGATCCTGGCATCCTCCAGCCAGACTCTCTGGATCACAGCTCTTCCTGAAGATACACGCTCTCCTTTTCAACACCTCAGCTGACCACACTGAAGGCTGTGAAGTTCGGGATCACAGGCTACCACCTCACCATGACCAGACACAAAGAAACGCCCCGTAACATTAATATGAAGGAAAGAGGCAAGGAGCGGCAGGAGGGAGTCAGGGTGGATAGAGGGTCCTGGGGCTTAGAATGTTGCTTGGCACGTCAGGTTGAGAGATGGGGACCTCTGAACACCTCCTCTTTGTTCAGCAATGCGATACCGTGGGAGGAGCCAAGAGTGGAACCAGGGAGCCACCATCATAAAGGCCATAGTAGCTGGGACCAAACACATAGACGGCAAAGGCAGAAAGTCAGTCTGGGAACCCCCCCAGTCTGCTGGGGTGAGGGAGCCGAGCAGGGGACAGCCTCTGGGTTTGTCAGTGGGCCTTCACAGGGCATCACACATCCCTGCCAGGCAAGGGCCCAGCAGGGAACAACCGGCACCATTAGATGAGGATTATTCTAGAAAGATCTGTTCACAAAGAGCCTTGCAACAGAGAGGAAGAGGTGGGGACCACAGAGACGGTGCGGGAAGAAGCTGGCAGTACCCATGGCCCAGGTTCACTTTACCCTCTCTAGCTGCTACATCTATGAAGGAGCCTGGGTGGGTGCCATCATAATGGGCCAGCTGTCTGGCCCGTGGTTTCAGCTAATGCAGAGTTTGATGGGCATCTAGGGGAAAGGAGGAGACAAGAAGGACATTTGTCTTCCAGGCTTCTTCCTTGCCATTGGCACCTGACACTGCCCTGACCAAATGTTACTCCCCTCTCCAGGAAGCCAAGGGGAGGTGACCCTCTCCGTTCTGGATCCCACCTTCTGCTTCCTTCACCTCTTCCATCCAGGAGAGGGTGGTCTCGGTGGCTGGACCACCTAGGGACCTACGCTGTCCCCTGAAAATACACTACCATCCGTTTCTGGCCGGCCACACTGATTTGGACTGCACACAAGCCCTGCCCCTCCTAACCCTTCTTTCGCATCTTCTGGGAAAGCGCTCTGCAGCCCGCCAAGGCTTCTGGCATCTAACAGTGCAAGCCCAGCAACGCCAGAAGCTGCCTACCCAGGACACTTTGGAGCTGCACGAGGGCTCCCTGAGGCCCCCAGCTCCTCATTCGCCAGGGGAAGAGGAGACTGCCTCTCTGCCACAATCTGCAAAGCTTCTGGGAGTGCATAGGTTCAGTCCGTAGTCACAGTGGGGGGCACAGTCCTCACAGAAAGCCCTAGAGTCACACCTGGCAGCTTGTCACAGCAGCAAGGAAAGGGCAGGGACAGGGGATGCTGACCATCAAGGCCTGTGCAAAGCCCTGACTGCACACGCTCCCCTTCCTGGCAGCCTGACCATCTCCCACTGACCGCCAGAGGCATCTTCAGAAAAGTTGGCACTGACTACCCCCGCAACCTTGCTCTGAAACCTTCCGTAGCTCCCGCTCTCTCAGGGATGACAGGGAGTTCCGAGGCCGGCTGGCATTTAGGTCAAGGATTTCTCGTCCTGGCTGCAGACATTGCGTGCTCAGTGCTCGCTCGGCAGGCCCCCCTCCTACCTGCCTGTGTACTGAAGGGACAAGGGAGGGTCTGCCTCCCTATCAGAAGAGCGAGCTGGCGTTTGGAGAGGGGCAGCCTCTGCTGGTCTGGAGCCCAGGTAGCCTGGCCTATGACAGTATTCCACCTCCCCCCAAGCTGCAGGGTGGTTCCTACCAAAGGAGGCTAATCTCTGGCCTCATGGTCTCTCTCTGACTGGCACACAGCCTTCTCTCCTCCACAATATGCAGATAAGGAAGGAGGCTCTGATGGACAAGAGGCCCTCTAGGGGTACATAACCAGAGGAGGAGCAGGACCTTTATCTAAGCTTTTATGGCTAGCAGAGGCCTGGGAGTCCCCACAGGCTACAAGGCTGGCGCATGCTGCCTGAGATGTGGACCTACGAGACCCAGGAGGGGCAGGATGAGGACATCGTTGTCTTCTGGCTATCCTTCAACTTGTACTTCTCAGTGCGGTCTCCAATAGGACCAGCAGCAGCACCTGGGAACTTGTTAGACATAGACCCCAAACCTACTCACCCGGAACCCTACGGGAAGGTCAGGGATCCTGCTGCAGGCTCCGGCTGAGACCCTGCCTTGACTCTGGCTTATTGCCCGAGCCAGCAGGCTCTGTGGAGCATCCCTCCAGCGCTCTACTGTCGGCCTGTGAACACATACCCCTTTCCACTTTCCTACCTGTGTTCATTAGGCGGCCTCAGTGTGACAAGTCCCTGAGATAGTTGATTTCCGACGGGGAGAGCTTCATTTTAGCTCACAGCTTCAGAGGGCTCAGTCGAGCTGACTTGGTGCTATTGTTTTAGGCCTGTAGCTGCACAACATATGGTGGTGGGAGTGTGCGATTCGTGGGGGAGGGGTAGAGCAGACATCCTCACTTCAAGGGATCCAGGTATCGGAGTGACAGAGAGGGGCCAGAACCCCAGCTCTTGTTTGAAAGCACACACACACACACACACACACACACACACACACACCCCCGACGGCCTAACTTTTTTCCACTAGGCTCCAAAATCCTAACCCTAGCAGCACTCCAGTCCTAAGTGAGAACAGAGGGAGTGTCTCAGGGACCAGCTAGTCTAGACATAGCTCCACAGGG